GACTTGGTTCAAGATCGAAAAGCCGTTGGCTGTGGGAGATGGCCGATTTCCCTCAGAGATTCGAAACCTACCGAATTCATGGGTGATCATCGCCATGCCTAAGCGGCAAGTCATGCAACTGAGTGCCAGTTACTCAAACTCAACGCAGCAGCTCAAGATGTCACTTCAGCTAACGAAAGATGGCGTCCCGAGCATGATCTGCAGCGATGCGCCCGAGGTGGTTGCCTCGAATCTCGTTGGTCCCAAGAATTTCCTTTGGGTGTCGAAAATGCCCAGCACTCGCAGAAATAGGGGAAGGCGGTGGTGGAAGCAATTTCGAAATCTCGCGGCCATCGATGCGCTGTCTTGGGAAGCGGTGCAGGCGGACATGGAGAGATTCGAATGCCTCGTCGAAGTTGTCTCTAAACCCGGCGCCAAGTTTGTGGAAGTTGGGCCTGCTGAGAGAAAGGCAGACAAAAGATAAGTATAACAGTGTGGGAAAGGGAGCCAGAATCTAGAGCGACCACAGCGTTTTATTCCAATATTCCCTTCATATCACCACCATCTCGAGGTGGTTGAGCGATGGCATTTCTTACTGGACAAGAGAGGAAAGCGGGTCTTTCATACTGATTTGACCGCCCTGGGGGTGGTTTCTGCGATATAGAGAGATCACATTTGAAAGAAGGGGATATTTTGCACAGGCTGGGAAATAAAGTCGCTATTCTTAGCATTGAGTTCTTCTGGGTTGGCATATTCGTTAGCTAGCACAAGCTGTTGATGGGCCAATCTAACATTCTGATTATTAAAGCAAACAGACACGTCCTCTGTCGTTGATATCGTGATAGATGGCGGTGGAAGATTGGGGCGGGACGGGATAACTTGCATCCTTAATCTATTGGCTGCAGAGGTGGAAAATCAGAGGCTCCCCGCCAAAGAGGCCCCACTCGAGATTCAGGGAACATTTTCTGGTGTGCGCCCCTCCAAACCCACGTCCAGACCAGGCTCCAGTCCAAATTCACCAAGCTTCCGGCAACCAGACCAACTCTTGCGGCCGATTCTTGGGGAATTTCTCTTTGCTTTCATTTCAATCACCCGTGGTATCTTTCCCCTAGGTTTTCTTTGTTGCGTCGAACGAACAAAAGTTGCCCACCATGCAGGCTCCGGTGTTGGTTATGAGTGAGTAGAAACTTGCAGGCCTCGAAGCTTCCATAGCTTCCCCTGATGGCATCGCGGGGGCCGAAGTGCTGACAAGATGCTGCAGACACCAATAGTGGTGAGAGGCAGGTTGGAAGACAAGCTCAGATGTCCAACATTGCTGCCGCTAAGACGTATGTCCTGTTCCCCCCGCCGAGTCCCCATATCCGCTTTCCACGGCCGTTGCATCGGTATGATAGAGAAGCCCGCTAACGTCGGGCCAGTGTCGCCGACATCATTCGATCATGTCTTGGACCCAAGGCCATGCTGAAGATGCTGCTTGACCCCATGGGAGGAATCGTGCTTACGAACGACGGCCATGCTATTCTACGAGAGATCGAGGTGTCACATCCCGCCGCCAAGAGCATGATCGAGCTCAGCCGGACACAGGACGAGGAGGTTGGCGATGGCACAACCACTGTCATCATCCTGGGTGAGTCTCGAGTTACTGAACAGCCCGGCCAAAAGTTTGGATTATTGACATGGGTTATCTAGCCGGTGAAATCTTGGCCCACGCTCTCCCCCAGCTCGAACGCAACATCCACCCCGTAGTGATCATCTCCGCCTTCAAGCGTGCGCTGAAGGACGCTCTTGAAATCATCGACGAAATCTCCAAGCCTATTGATATCAACGACGACGAGGCCATGGGCCAGCTTATCTCATCCTCCATCGGCACCAAGTTTGTCTCCAGGTGGATGGACCAGATGTGCTCTCTGGCGCTCACGGCTGTCCGCACAGTCACTTGGGAGGCTGGCAACGGAAAGACCGAGGTCGATATCAAGCGATACGCCCGAATCGAGAAGGTCCCCGGAGGTCAGATCGAGGACAGCCAGGTGTTGGACGGAGTTATGGTGAACAAGGATATCACACACCCCAAGATGCGAAGGCGCATAGAGAACCCCAGAATCGTTCTTTTGGACTGCCCGCTCGAGTACAAGAAGGGAGAGTCACAGACCAACATTGAGATCACGAAGGAGGAGGACTGGAACCGTATCCTACAAATCGAGGAGGAGCAGGTCAAGGCCATGTGCGAGGCCATTATCGCTGTGAAGCCCGATCTTGTCATCACCGAGAAGGGTGTCTCAGGTGTGTTTATTCTTTTGCCCTGGAATTGCACAGCAACCAACATTAAGCCACCGCTAACATCGTGACCTGGTAGATCTCGCACAGCACTTCTTTGTTAAAGCTAACATCACAGCTCTTCGCCGAGTCCGAAAGACCGACAACAACAGAATAGCCCGCGCTACAGGCGCCACTATTGTCAACCGAGTCGATGATCTTCAGGAGGCCGACGTGGGTACCCGATGCGGTCTGTTCGAGATTGAGAAGATTGGCGACGAGTACTTCACCTTCCTTACCAAGTGCCAGGACCCCAAGGCCTGCACAGTCCTCCTCCGCGGTCCCTCGAAGGATGTGCTCAACGAGATTGAGCGCAATTTGCATGATGCCATGGGCGTTGCCCGCAACGTCATGTTCCACCCTCGCCTGTCGCCTGGTGGTGGTGCAACTGAGATGGCCGTGTCCGTGCGCCTGAACGAGCTGGCCAGGAGCATCGAGGGAGTTCAACAGTGGCCATACAAGGCCGTCGCAGACGCCCTCGAGGTCATTCCCCGGACGCTGGTTCAGAACGCCGGCAAGAGCCCCGTGCGTGTTCTGACAGACCTACGTGCCAAGCAGGCCGAGGGCAACAGCTCGTGGGGCGTGAACGGTGACACTGGTACCATTGTGGACATGAAGGAGTACAACGTCTGGGAACCCGAGGCTATTAAGCTTCAGAGTATCAAGACCGCTATCGAGGTATGCACTTTTTTTTTCACATCAGCTATTGATAATAATGGCTCAACTAACATTCATATAGGCTGCATGCTTGCTGCTTCGTGTAGATGACATTTGCAGCGCCCGAAAAGGTCACCAAGGTAGAGCTCCCGGGGCTGGTGGGGAAGAATAAGATGTAGCCTCCGGGGGAAGTATGCGGATCTGGTTAAAGTCTGTGGGATAATAGGGATCTGGGTGGTGGATGTATGAAATACTGATGCTTGCACATACTTGAGCTGGCCATACCCGGGCCCCAAACTGTTTGAACAACCTTAAAAAGATAGACCCTTATAGGCGAAAAGAGAACCGAAACAAGACACAAATTAGATGCTTTTGGGCGGCACTAGTATATAAAAGCTGCGATGCTCAGCCGAAGAGTCGTGGGTATCATCTATAATTACAATGTTGTGAAATAAACGCCATTTTCTAGCCCTCTCAGCGCGAGGTCTCAGTCGTCATCATGAATGACCAGACCAACCGCCTGCGCAGACGAAACAGCCGTTTCGCCGCCTTCTTCGCCATCTTTTCTCTCATCACCACCCGCTCTGACCTGCCGAGGCTGTACTTTAGCAGCCTTGCCGTCACCCCCCGCGCCAGCTGCTGCCTCAGGCGCTTTCGCATCCCCGTTGGCACTCCCCTTGCCCTTCTTCGCCTTCCGCGCCTTCATCTTCTCCCTCTTCTCCCTGTTCTTCCTCGTCCTCTCGTCGTCCTTGCGATCCCGCTCGTCCTTTTGCTTCTCAAACTCCTCCTGCTGCTTCTCCCGCGCGAGCTCCTGGTCCATCTCCCTGAGGCGCTCGTACTCGCGCCGCCGCGAGGCCTTGTACACGTGGAACTCGCCGCTGCCCGCGCCCGCGCTGCTGCCCTGTACGTTGGCGACGATCTCCGGGGGCGCCGCGCGCTTCTTGAGCGACGCTGCCGCGCCGGCGAGGGGCGGGACGCTGATCTCCTGTTCCGGGCGGGCGAAGAGGGCGTCGACGGTGGCGGCCTGGGCGGATACGGGTGTGAGGGCGCGCTTCTTGGTGGGACGCCGGGACTTGGGGTCCGCGGACGTTGGGATGGACTCGGGGCCTTCTCCGGACATGTCGCGAGGTTGGGACGGGGCGGCCGAGGACGCGGCGTGTGTTGTTTGTTTAAATTGGGATTCTGTGGGAGCCTTGGGCGAATGGGAGGCTACACAGAGGCGAGGTGAGGGTCGGAGGGTGTGCCTATTCAAAGGGTTGGTTGGTGGGTTAAACGAAGGTCGCGTGCGTCGAACGAACGTGGATGGAATATTGAGGTTTAGGCTGGAGAAAAAATGCCGGTCTCGGGTAAGCCATAATTAAGGTAGGGATGGACATGGATGCCGATTAGATAAGAGTAGTATAGAAATGTTCCTGGTGGGATATATCAGCAACATCGTTTTGTATTGCTATGCAAGTCTAAGTGGCTTCGTGTACTCAATGCACTGGGGGACTGCTGCTTGGAATCGCATCCATCTGGTGAGCTGACTCCTTGGGCAACGGACCAAGAGCCCTTGGGCAGCGTGCAGGCATCTTGCCCTGCTTCACTGTCACCGTCCCGCAATACGTAATGGCTCTGGCTGGAGTTTCACTGCCGGGCAGCCAGCCAATGGCCGGGCGCGACCTGTCCCTACTAAGGCTAAAGGCGAGACACTATAGGCGCTGACACATGCTTCCCTCCCCGTTGGCCAAACTTCAGTCCAACGTTAATAATGTCGGGTTGCCTCCTTCTCTGCATAACCACCGCCTTCTCTGCTGCTCCCTCCGCCCGAGCTCTCCTTTTCCCCCGTCCACCACCGTCGTGATCCAACTGAGATACCCTCGCTTCATTGAGTGCCTGAGCTTCGAACCAAGATCCTTCATTGACAAGCATCTTCCTGCCCCACTAGCTGTTTTTGATTCATCCTGTATATGCTACAGAAACAAATCATCCAGCCATCCATATTCGCGACGAACGCAAACAGCTTCACATTTGCCTTCTTATTGTAACAACACCCAGTTCCTTCAATCGCGATGGCGAAACCACGTCTTATAATCTTGATTCGGCATGCCCAATCTGAAGGAAACAGTACGTTCCCACCCCTCCCCCATGGCCTTTCACACCCCGGTAGCTGACCCCTCCACCCCTCGTGCTAGAGAGCCGCGAGATTCACCAGACCACGCCCGACCACCGAGTCAAATTGACCTCTGACGGCTGGGCCCAGGCTCACGAGGCAGGCCGCCGCCTCCGCAAGCTCCTCCGCCCCGACGACACCCTGCACTTCTTCACCTCGCCCTACCGCCGCACTCGCGAGACCGCCGAGGGCATCCTCACCACGCTGACCTCGGACGACGACGAGGCCTCGCCCTTCCGCCGCTCCGACATCAAGGTGTACGAAGAGCCCCGGCTTCGCGAGCAGGACTTTGGCAACTTCCAGCCATGCAGCGCCGAGATGGAGCGCATGTGGCAGGAGCGTGCCGACTACGGCCACTTCTTCTACCGCATCCCCAACGGCGAGAGCGCCGCTGACGCCTACGACCGCATCAGCGGCTTCAACGAGAGCCTGTGGCGCCAATTCGGCGAGGACGACTTCGCCAGCGTCTGCGTCCTCGTCACCCACGGGCTCATGTCCCGCGTCTTCCTCATGAAATGGTACCACTTCACCGTCGAGGAGTTCGAGGACCTCCGCAACGTCAACCACTGCGAGTTCCTCATCATGCGCAAGCAGGACAGCGGCAAGTACATCCTGGAGAACAAGCTACGGACCTGGTCCGACCTGCGCCGCGAGCGCGCCCTTAAGGAGGGCAAGGACCACGACGACTTCAAGCTAGAGCGGAACAAGACCTTCGTCGCCACCCGCCGCTGGGGTGGGTGCCCCGATGGCTGTAACCACAGCAGCCACTATAAGAAGCGTGAGGACTTGGAGCTTTTGAGGCAGCGAGATGTGGAACACTCCGTTCGCGGCACGAGCGGGGCTTCCACGGACGCTGTTCATACTGCCACGACTACCAGCACCACCATCACCACCGCGACACCCCGGAAGCATCACGTGCATCACGTAGCGAGCTCCGATGGTGATGACGAGGATGAGCAAGATCACGAGGAGAATGAAGATACTAAGGACCATATCCTGGAAATGAGCAGTGCTCAGAATAACGCCAACAAAGAGAACCAGGCTCGGCTTCACCCGAAGAGCATTCGATACCACGACCATCTTCATGTCGGCCGCGACTTTGGTGGCACTTACTCGGGCCACGCCTCGACGGCAGGCAGCGACACAGATGCTTCCGAGGAAGAGCATCATCGGCACCGCCGTCTAGCGTCTCTCGATGCCCGTCTCCAGCGTGTTACTACGGCCTCCGCTCTACGGAGGCAGACGAACGGGTCAGAACACAGTTCCGACAGCGAGCATGATGCTGTGCGGCCTGCCTACATGAGTCGGCTCGGTGATGGGGTCGAGGATGACTTGGACAGAGCAGAAAAGGAAGATAGGAGCATTCAAGGAAGCGTGTACTGAGCTGGTGGTTCGTTTTTACGATCTTAGAATAGCTAGGAAAGAGCGAAAGAGGAAGATAGGAGCATATAAGGATGCGTGTGCTAAGCGGGTGGTTGATTTTGCGATAAAATACTTAACCTTGACGTGCCCATGAATTTACGAATGTTACGAGCAACAACCAAACACAACACTGATGGCTCATCTTATGTGAGCCGCACGTTCAAATACGGGACCGATCTTGCATGCATTTCGTGTATCATGACGTTCAACCCTCCTAAAAACAGGAGAGACTTTGATTTTAAATCTATCTCATGGATTCATCCGACTCAAAGCCCATACGCCACATGCAAGGAGCATCAAAGAGTGGGAAAAAAGTGAAGATGAGAGTGAAACAAACGATGAAACCCAGGTGCCTATAGTTATCCTCCTGTATCCCATTCCCTCAACGGCGAATGCACCTATCCGGCCAGAATGTAAAAAAAGAAGAAAAAAAAGCAAACCACCAGTGCCGTCAAATGCCAAACCAATCCCCTAGCGAGCTCGTCACATTACTGTCCCTAGACCAGATAGTGATCATCAGATGAAAGAAACGGTTGCTGAATGGAAGCAATGTATGAATAAACAGAGGCCGAATGAAATGCAAGAACAAAAAGTAATAACAAACGCCAAGACTCCAATAACCCCTTTCCACCTAACCTCCTTCCACTTGGCCTTTGCCCAGCAAAAGACGAAGCAGGAGCGAGTATGACAAAAAACGACATTGAACAAACATTAATACCCGGAATGATGCAAACGCAAGGCTAATGCTACAATAGAAGAGTTGGAAGGTGAAAGAGCAAGCTCACACCACCAAGCCATTCCGCCACATGCTTTTCTCTATGATCGATCGTTTGCCGTCTGACATTGAGACGAAGTTGTATGAAAAAGAGAGTGAAGAGTATTAGAAGAGGTAAGGCGAATAAAGAACCTGAAACTCTGCTAGACGCTGGCATCTTAGCATCCCAGGGCTAGTCCCTTAGAAGAACTTGGCCATGGCTCGACTCAGGTCAATGAAATCAACAGGCTTCGTCACGTAGTCGCTGAAACCAGCCGCTATGCACTTATCCTGCACATCGGACATGACATTGGCAGAGAGTGCAATGATGGGCATACTGGGGACGCCGGCTTCTTTCTCCCAGTGTCGAATCTCGCGACAAGCTTGATACCCATCTTTTCGCGGCATATGTAAATCACACTGTTGAAATATATCCGTTAGTGACCGTCAAGGGCCATCCATGCTTAGAAGGTGTGCACATACCAAAATTAGGGAGTAATGTCTCTGGGGGCGAGACATGACCATTTCGATACATTCGACGCCATCTACTGCAACGTCTACGTCGACTCCGATCTTTTTCAGGTACTTCATCAGTACCTTCTGGTTAACAGGGTTATCTTCCACCAAAAGGACCCTATAACCCTTGTTGCCCATTCTCTTTTCGATCTCCAAATAGCTTGCCTTCTGGCTCTCGACCATCTTCTGTGCTGTTGAGCGGTTTCGATCAATACTGACATCCCGCATTTTGTCAGGATCGAAGATAACTGCAAATCGGGATGGCTTGACCGGCTTATATATGAAGGTCACGAGATTCTTCGTAAGAAGCCGCTCGAATGGTGTATTGGCGGCGAGTTTCGTGACAGCCTGTCTCTGAACGGAATCGGACAAAATCAGAATGGTGGTGTTCTCAATCTTCTGAGACTTGGTCACCTGGCCGAGGAGGTCCACAACTGCTCCTGCCGAACCCAGATTAATCACAATGTGTGTGAAGTTTATGGGATCTTCGCCCCCGATAAGCTCGTGGGCTTCCTCTGCAGACCCCAGCCCCGTGATTTGATGGGGTACGTCCTTTGGCAGTGTCATCTCTATATGCCGCGTGGTTGCCTCACGGCTATAAACCTGTGGGCAGATGATGAGAATAGAGTACATTGGTGGGCGGAAGTCTTCCAATGAGCCTTGATTGGGGTTATCGGGAGTTGCCGTTCGAGCTGGAGAACTGTTACCCGAGGGCATCTCTAGCTTCATCTGAGACAGGTCTTGCCCACTCGCTTTGGCCGCTTCGCTGAAACGGACTAGACCTGTGTTGATGGATGTGGCAGAGGACCGGTCTGTGTGGCGGGACCTGGCCGACTCCGTGGACAGGTTGGAACTACCATTCGATCCTAGCTCTGGGGATATGGAATCCAGGTCTCCGCGGACTGCACTTGTTGCTTCGGTGGCAGAGTCTTGCTTTGGGGGTGGGAGCGATGGCAGATTACCGGGTACGCCGCTCGAAGATGGTGGGCGGGTGGTTACAGAGTACGATGAAGGACTTCCCGGAAGATCAGGATGATCATCAGCAGTAGGGAGCCCAAAACATGCCGTGAAAATGAAAGTTGACCCTTTTCCGGGAACGGCGGTTCCCGCCATATTGCCTCCGTGGAGTTCAACCAATTGCTTAGATATGACAAGACCAAGACCACTTCCCCCATGTTGTCTGGTACTACTGCCATCAATCTGGCTGAAAGGTTTGAATATCAGCTCGGCTTCCTTCTCGGTGAACCCCTGGCCAGTGTCAATGATGGAATATTCGAGCATGATGTGATCCTCATCTGAAGACGGATCTTCTTGATGATAGACCTTGCATCTACTGAACACCTCACCCTCTGAAGTGAATTTGATTGCGTTGCCGATGACATTGAGGAGGACTTGTCGTATGCGGACTTTGTCTCCCTTAACCCATGCTGGAACATCTGCCTCGACAAGATAATTGAGCTCCAAGCCCTTGGCAATGGCCATTGTTGACACCAATTCATTGACATCCTCGATGAGCGAGCGAGTATGGAACCACTCAAACTTCAGTTTCATCATGCCAGCGTCAACCTTAGACAGATCCAAGATGTCGTTAATAATCATAATAAGACTATTTGCACTTGTTTGAATAGTGTTGGTGTAATCGCGCTGCTCTTCATTCAATACGGTATCTTGAAGGAAGCTGACCATGCCTGAAATGCCAATAAGAGGAGTACGGATTTCGTGAGACATGTTGCTCAGGAATCTGCCCTTGGCTTCCATGGCTTCTTTCAACTTGGCTTCCAAGAGTTTGTGGTCATTAATATCCGTTGCAGAGCCAAAGTATGAACTTGCGCCGCCAGCCGAATCCATGGTGCCGATTTCAACACATCGGATCAGATGCCATCTGTACTCCCCACTTCTGGACCGAAGTCGTACTTCTGTCGTGTAAGACAATCTGCCATTGCTGTCGGTGGTGACCTTAATAATGCCCTTTCTGGCGAGCTCTGTCAAATCTGCGGATGGCAGCTCATAAATCGAGCTGTTACCCGAGCTGTTGTGGCGCGAGAGTGCCTTGTGAACGCCCCTCAAATTTATGTCTGTGGAGTCTTGTGCCTTGGAGTGCCCCCCACCTTTTGATGGCTGAACAGTCTTGGATGACGGGGCGTCAGGAGACAGAGGGACTTTGCTTGACTCCTTTCTCCCTTCATGGCGGTTCCTAACGGGAGTCGGAGGCGTGTCTGTCGGAATACGGCACTTGGCAAGATCCTCTGGATGCACGAAATCCAGAAACCCTAGGCCTAAGGAGTCGTCGAAGCTTTGACCTGTGTATGAAAGCCACTGCTCGTTGGCAAAAGTGATTCCATCCTCTTCGGTAGCAGTAAATATTATTTGCGGTATCAGATTGGCGAGAAGGCGATGCTTGGCTTCTGAAGCCTCGATCTCCTCTTGGCGAGCAGCCTTCAATTCAGCAATATGCTGATCATGGATGTCCATATACGAACCCAAGAATTGCATTATGACACCCCTCTTGTCTTTGGATGCAACGGCTCTAGCATAGAACCATCGATAAGTCCCATCGAAGCGCTTGATTCTCACCGTCCTCGAGAATTGTTCTCCGGTCCGGAGTGAATGGCTCCAAGCCCTCAGGTATTCCTCACAATCGTCAGGATGAATACTGCTCCATGGATCTTCTGCCAGGTCTGCAACCGTCTGTCCTCGATAGGATAGGTAGCGGCTGTTTACCCACACAATTTCACCGGTTTGGGGGAGGGCTACAAAGACATGGGCTGGGAGGGAGTCTAACATGAGCCCCTTCAATCGATCCGATGGGGGCGGCATATCCACGACCGCCGAAGTATATGACATGCCCCTGGGAGGCGCAGACACTGTTGGAGGGGGCTTGCTTAACAAGCTAGAGCTAGGAGGTAACGATTGGAAAGTTGAGGCGAAATCGGCGCCATAGCTGTGAAGCATGGTGTGGCTGTGAGGTATATTAGAACCCGACTTCTGCTCAACAGCAGGAAGCTCCGACGAAATTGTTATTCCATCCAGTTGATTCTCTTTTATGGCCGCATCATTTCCTTCTGTCACAGGCACAGGATCAGGGTCTGATCCCGCCCTGTCAAGTGAATCGGCACTGTCTAACAGATCCTGCAGTGGCTTTGTTGTCAGTGTGCGGGATTGTCGTTTCTCGCTGGGTGAGGTATCTTTTGAAGAGCCCTTGCCATAGACACCAGAGCTCAAAATCTCCTGGCGGGAGGAGGTGATCTGCTGTATGCTGCCAAAATAACTCTCGCCTCCAAGGGATGTTGCAACAGGGCTGGCTACCGGTGGGCGCTTATCGGCCAAAAAGCTCAAAGAGCTGGAATCCCAGCCAGGGGTACCAGCAGGCGATCCAGTGATACTCTTCGAGACGGCGGAATAGTCACTGGGGCTAGTCATACTACCCGGAACTGACACCTGTCGAGCGAGATCTCCCGCCAAGAATACATTGCTTGTCAACGGCCGGCCGTCGGGAGCAACGGCACCAAACCCAGCTGTCGATGGTCGTCTTCGATGCAAACCAGTCATTTCTGTCTCCAAGTTACTATAGTGACGGCAGAGGGAAAACGAATTGGCCATGTGAGGGGCCAGATGTTGAAGGGAATGTCGTAGATTGGAGGGATAGGGTATTATCGGACTCAGAATCGACAAAATAGCAATCGGTGCTGTACGGTTCTTGTGGTGGCTATCGGAGGATAAGCCTGTGGGATCTTTGCTATTGACGTCCGTATCATCCTTTGGACTATCATGAGATCGTTGTTCTATAGCAGCACTATTGAGCTTGAACGGGCGTGGGGACTGTGACAGGAGCACATGAGTGAGTGGGATGTGTAAAACGGTCCATGAATTATCGACCCCAATTGCTTCCGGTGGAGGAAGGCCTGAATAGTCTTGAGGAGTTGTTCCGGGATTAAAGGAATCTTCATCGACTGTAGCGTCCGTAAAGAAGGGATTCTCTGGGGGGTCGGGGCGAACAGCCGGGGATGGTGCAGGGGATTGGGACCAAGGAGAAGGGGGAGCTTGTTCAAACTCTTCGTATTTTGGGGTCCTTGGCCTTGGGACTTCCTCGTTATCAAAGCGAGCAGATACTCCCTTGAACTTGTCCCCCGGTGTCATCCTCGGTCGTCCGGGGCCACGGCTGCTACTAGACTGCCCCAACATGGATGTGAGCTTGGCTGCAGAGTCCGACGACCTCTGTTTTGTGTATTTCTTGGATGGGTCTTGGCCAAGCTGGGGTTTTGGGTTCGCATCGGGGGGTGGGTTCATCTCAAGATATGGATATGTTCTCGTCAGTGCCACAACCTTGCCGCGTTCCAAGACTCGCATCACGCCGCTGTGGTCGATAAGTGGATCGGCTTCGTAGTCTAACGCCTGTAATACAGGTAACACCCTCCCCCCGTTCCCGTTTTGAGCCATGAAAGGAGCCTCCCAAGAAGGAAGTTCTCTCTGCTCCTCTAAACGATCGTGCTCGTGAAGAGCGTGCTTGTTCAGCTTTGTATCCTTGCCTAGCTCCTTGGGGGGGATATCACTACGGCTCAGGTAACTTTTGCTGCGATGCACCGAGGGGCGCTGTGAGGGCCCTGTTGGTCTCTCTGGAGAGTTTTCCTTACTCTCTTCAAAGCTGGTGAAAGAGTGGCGGGATCGAAAGTCGGGGCGGCGGGGAGCAGCTGTGTTAGGCTGTTCCTCGCGCCCAGTACTGGGATCTTGAATATCAAACCCAGTGCTTTGCACAGCACTACTACCCCTTGCCATGTACCCGAGACTCAGGTCGTCTTCTTGATGTTCGTTGTATGTAGCTTTCTGGCCCCATGGGACATTTTCGATGTCAGTTGAGTCAGCAGGAACTGCCAGTGTTACCCTTTCAGCCTTATAAACATCTCTCATGATTTGGACGACAGTGTTCCACCAAGCGTCAAGACCGGGTTCAGCCGAGAGCATCAAGGAAAGGTCGTAAAGATTTGGGCTGGGAAAATCCATATCTTCGGTCTTCTGCTGGGAGCCTGAAGGATGGAATGTGTAAGTCGATGCCGGTGTGGATGTATTGGACAAGACGCGATCGTGTGCTCCCATCGATGGATCAAAGTTGGGTGTATACGAGGGTCGAAAGGGTGCTCCGGGCGAAGGAGTATTGAAAGACTTGTACAGATTAAACGCCCCTCCTGCCATCCTAGGGAAGGGATACGAAGGCGTGCTCGCAGTCATGGCCGGTGTCATACCGCCTCGAATAGTATTGTTGGATTCGGTCGATGCCGTGGCGATCGTGCTGGACGTAAGCTGTGGCAAGCTCATTGCCAGTTCCTCTTGTATCGGCGAAACCCGAGCCTTTTCCACAGGACTCAGTAGAAGCCCCCGAGCAGACAGCTCCCTCCGTTCCAGGTCCCGTGCAAGCTTCTCTCGGTATTCATTCAGCTGTTTCTGTGATGCTGTTTGGGTTGGGGACTCAACCCGCGCTGTAGCACCAGCATAATGGATTCTATCAAGGAAAACACCTCCCCTACCGAGTCCACTGTCGCTCAACGTAGCCATATCTTTCGTGGGCGCTTCACTCGACAGGGGGGAGTTCTGCGTTGCGTTGTCACCTGCATCCATTGCGCGGTGCCCCTCTCCAGTCAATGATTCACTTGATGCCTCTAGAGTTCCATCTCCTTGGGCTTCTCCAAACGTCGAATCGTCGGGGTGGGCTGGGTCGATTGGCGAGAGGCTGCTCGGCGGGTTCAGTTGTCGCGTGGCCACGGGCGAGGCTCTCTGGTCGACCGATGAGACGTCGGGACCAGGCATGCCTCAATCGAAAACGACCGGGAGTTCGTGACGGGAAGCGAGGTGGATGTGACGGGATCGATATCTCAGGACCAACTATGTGGCTGCTGCGTGGGCAGTTGTAGGAGGGGGCCACATCCCCAAGCAGAGGGTCAAGAGCGGAAGAAAGCCGGTGGGCGATTAAGTCTAAGTGGTCTGCTCGGACAGTAGCGGCGGCATGTACTCTGGTCGAGCAAGAACTGGAATTGCAGAAAGGCCAGGCGAGGTCTGAACAAACCGGTTTGGGGCCAGTGCTTGCATGGGAAACGGAGCGGAGTCGCAAGATGGGGGATGGTGGGCGAAGTTGGTTTAGGTCTCAGGTAGGGTGGCAGGTTAGCAGGCAGGTAGTCGGTGGTGCTGGGTTTGCCCCCCAAAATGCGCGCCGAAGGGAGGTGGTGGATTAGCGTCGTCCTACCGCACACAGTACCTTGCCTATGACGTAGCCACGATCGACAGCGTTCCGCTCAGAGAAAGCGCACTCCATGCTAAAACAAAAATCTGACAGGCAGACAGCTCCCGCCTGGCTCCTGCCCTGGGGCTAGGTCGAGTCGCTGCCCCCATCCAGCCATTGCCCCCATCTCGACCTACAGCTGCCAGAGGAACAAGATGGGCCATTTGGATGCGAAATCCCCTGGGCCGGAGGCTGATCAACACCCTCGCCAGGCACTGCAACCCAGAGGCGCACTAGCCTGCCACCATGCAGGCGCAGAGGCTGTACGCTGCTGAGAATCGGGTGCGACGTGACAAACTGGCATGCACTTGAATCGCCATCCTACCACCTACCTACCAGAGTAGGCAACCTGGGACTGCCCAGTACCTGCCTATACCCGCCTCACCTACCGTCTGCCCTCCAGCCCGACCTGCTTATATCTGCAGTGGAGGCACCTCAGTCAGGTACCTCCATGCCTCTTCTTGCTTCTTAATGCTGGTATTATTGGCGAACATGCGCACAATGAGTTTCCACATATTGTCAACAAGAATTGACCTGCCAATAAAAGAAGCTTCAAAATAACTACCATGACCTAGTTTAATCCTTCTTCATTGTCGTGGTGTTGTCTGCCAGTCACGGAACACCAAGCATCACCTCATCTTCTATGACAGGTTGAGAGCAGTGTTGTGGTGTGTGCCACCTGTACTTTCCGCGCTTGTAGGTACAGGCCTGCATTAGTAGCCAAGATTGGGTCCGTGCCGCCCTTGCCCACCATCTTGCCTCGATCACCATCCATAGGATCGCACCCAGCATCGTGGAAAGAAGACACGGACTCGACGCGCATCCACATCCACGTCGTTGGCCATGACTACGGTCGTCCCTCGCCGCGCCAGCCCAGGCAAAATGGGGGGAAATGACGGGAATTGGAGAGTCACGCATCCACTCCGCGGATGCGAGAGGTAGGCCTAGTTACGAGGAACCGCCCGGCTGGTCTAGTGCCACACCTTAGCGACGACGAAGCGTCCTTCCAACTGCATGGGAAGTGGATTGTGTCCAGTTTAGGTGTAGCCTCGATTCCCTCGATGCCACGCGATGTCGAAGAAGGCAGAGAGCCCAAGAATCGGGTCCAATTCGACAGGTAGGGTAGCCTAGCCAGATCTCCTGGACTCGGGATGCTCTCTCGGCCATGGATGACACTAATAAGTGCTCGTCTACCTCAACGCCCGCTCTCCAGACGCTCCCTCCTCTCCGACTCCAACGGTGGAAGCACGCATGAGCGCCACACCTTGGCTTGGGACTTGGGAACAATGAGACATGCCCTCGTGCCGCGCTCCCGCCCTTGGGATGTCTGTCAAGACGGTCAGCAAAGCGTGAGACTCTGCTTCCTACATGCCATCAGTTAGGTGACATCAACGCTCGCTGCCAAGGCACTTATCCATTCGTCCACGCATCCACACTCATGCCAGCCTCAACTTGCACCGGGGCAGGCAAGGAACCCCAGCAAGAGAAGTAAACGGCCATGAGTGCAGCTCGCCCCATGCCGCCTCGATAAACCAAGTGCCAGGCACTTGCGTGGGCAGTCTGTGTTTATTTCGTTCCTCTCTCCCCTTCTCCGCCATCCTTCCTGCGGCCACTTTCCGACAATAAGATATTGGCATCAGCTATGCGTGGCCCCAAATCATGACGTCGTAATGCGAGCGGAACAATTACATCAGATGCAGGACCGTGCGTTTTTGTGGCTTTTGTGTGCCTCAATCCAGCAGCACCACCAAAACCCGGCAAACTCCGCCATGGCAAAAAAGGAGGGAGTGGAACAGGCCAGATGAGCTTCTGCACTACGCAGCACAAAAGGTGCCTGTTGTGAAATCTCTTCCGAAGTACCTAATCATTTGATGTGTATCCATACAGAATTTCCCACTCTCTTTTAGCCGTTGCTCCCTGGTTTGTGTCGGTGAGCGCTTGGCACATATCCATGCACACCGGTGTAAGGCACCCCCATCAGCTGTTATTAGTTTTATTAATTGTCCATATTTATTCATTTTAGTCTAGGCGGTCAGTAGCAAGCCTCCATCCTACTCACTAACTTCACATGCAGCAGATCAACAACGAGTTCGCATGCTCTCTGTTCAACTCTCATCTATTCTCCTCCAGACAACCACATGTGTAATACATTATTAATTATAGAATTCTATCCACAGCTGCTTTCTGGCTTGACAAGTCTCCCTGATCGAGCCAGACGCTGACGCTCCTCTCTTTATGGGGTAGCATCAAGTCCGCCATTCCACAAGCTGACTGATGCTCAATGCCACAACATTCTGGATCCGTTTCCGCCCTCGCCTATTCGCCCTATGGTTCAACCGTGCCCATCATCATGACAGGTTGGCAGGCAACGGCATTCTTTACGGCATTAAAAACGGTGTGAGCGGTTAGCGACCCGACCCTTGGGAGCGTCTCCGCCTGCTCGATTCGCGCTGGCGATCACCCAGAGCCCAAAATACATGCCGGCCAAATATCCTTGTCGCCAAACGTCCACATGCCATGCATCGATCGATGCCTGCCTCGACCAACCAAGTGACGTAATGTTAAATAACATATTTGATGATGATGCCCGTTCAACCTTCCATATTTCGAGCATATATCAAGCGTTTCCAGAGAGCCTCGAGGGGTTGCTATCTTCGCCCAAAGTCGCATGGAGACATGAGCTAAGTTATTTTGGACTCTTTGCCGAACATGTCCTAGTGAAGGAGTTTTGTTAAATTACGCTTTGGCTACACAAAGTCAAGCAGAGTACTACCATGCGATCAGCCCTGGCGCTTCTTCATAGGGATCTGACATACATCATGTCCATGACACGTCTATGACAGCCCGAAGGGATTACCTATGATTTTCCTCTGATGTGAGCAAAGAAACTTGATTTTATCCGTTTCCGCTTGACAGCAAATATGATTCAAACAAGCAATGAACAGCATCAAGGGAGCTTCAGATCAAACTAGTCATTCGAAATGCGCAGAACGTTATAATATCTGACAAGGCGGTATCCTATGTCATTCTGAATCAGCCCGCCAAGACAACTTGACAGGCAAAGCATAAACCACAATCACTACGACTCCCGAAGGAAGCATTTTTCCAAGCTCCTCTTCCCAAAACAGATTGTGTTCCTCAACTCTTAATAGCCCAATTAGAAATAGATTTTGCACCCATGGTCCACGTGAAAAGATTGCGCAAGGAAAGAGATGCAAGGAGAGCTTTTAGTTTATCGGCTCTACATTTAAGAAACCACTGCAGTCTTGAAACCAAGCTTTTGTTTCTGGATACGCGGATAAACACCAACAAGGATCAAAATAGCCAGAAGCAAGACGGCCCAAAGAGGGATCTTGAGCACGTTGTAGTTGTATGGCGTGTCTATAGCGGTGACGACGGTTGCGAGCAGCAGGGTAAGGATCAGATACCCGCTCCAGCGGTGATACTTGTAGATGGACTTGGCATTGTCCACCGAGCCGTAGAGGCGCGGCGTAGCCCATATCGTGAACCCGACAAAGTACTGTGCCAGGAGGACGAAGGACGAGATGACCCCCAGATATCCGTGGACGGAGTGGAAGTGGGCTCCGTTGCTGATGAGCTTGTTGTACTCGATGATGGTCACGCCGGCGACGAGGAAGAGGAAGGCCGCCAGATTGAGCGACGCGTGGAACCGCTGCCCGAGCCTCTTCTGCTCCGCGGTGTGGGTGGGCTGGAGCAGCAGGATAGACTGGACGAGGGTCAGGATGGCGAGGGACTGCGCCAGGGGGTGGCCGGAGAAGAGGATCAGAGGCTTGGTGAGCACGCTGGCCCAGATGAGGACTACGAGCAGGAGGATTGAGATCTGTGTGATGGCAGCAGTGCCTAGGCAAGGTTTAGGTGTCAGTGATGATTGTCGCAAAGTCGCAGGCTGGATGAGACTCACCAATATACAGGTTCTTGATGAACGAACCGCCGTCGGCTTGGGCAACATCTCCAGGGCGTCCAAGCAATGGCTCTGTCTCGGCGTGATGGTGAGCTACGCCGCCATTGCTCGCAACCCGTTCCGGTACGCCTGTAGCGCTCGCCATGATGAGTGTAGAAGCTAAATATCAGCGATGGAGTGAATATCAAAGGACGGGCGATTGAATTGAAGAGATGCAGCCGGACGCAGGCGTCGCAGGTGGATGCTTGATGATCAACGCGAATTGAGATCCAATAAAGAAAAGAAAAGCTGGTCAATCAGCGCGACTGCCGAGGAGGAAAGCAGCAAGGAAGGCGGGGAGAAGCCCAGTCGGACGACAGCTGCATGTAAGAGGTGTGATGCTGGGAGCTTCGGGGAGCCATGACGAGACACCCGTGGAGCAATTGCGTTATTGACTATGGACCAATGACGTCTACGTATTTTCAAATGCACCAAGCTCCCGATAGCTGACAGGAACCTAGTGCGATCTGAGAATTGGCTGCCGTGTTACCAAGCGAACGAAGGCCGATAGCGGGGTAGGGAGATAGCCGACTGCGGGTTGAGCTAACCTAAACCTGCCGTTGGGCAGGGACCTGCCTCTATGGGGACATGTCGAAAACTCAATTGCTGTTCTTGCGCTACGCCATGCACGAATGGGCATGTATCGCACAAGGGAGAGGTGCTTCAAGCTCGTGGTACGCTGATCTGCCCAAGACTTTTGAGTTGTCGCTCGAGTATCGGCACTTGATTACACAGAACGGTACCCCGCTGATGAACCGTACTCATACACTGAAGGTACCGACAAACAGCGCTGTTTACTATCAGTTCTACTTGCCTACCAAATAAGTCTTTTACCATGCCTAGGTAGTCAATTGAGAGCATACAACCAGCAGATTGATGACAGTCCTACTTGGATGCAGCCTCGTTTGCGCACTGGTAATATGCTTGACTGTTATCAACATGTAACAATCGCCGGGGCCGGCGCCATTTCACCCCTCAGCGGGGGCCGCGAGAGCTACATCGGAGCCGGCCGATGCAACTGTCACTGGCAGGTAACCATTAACGCATTTAACTTCATCTCTTGTTCCACGCCCACAAAACTGACACTGAGGCCTTTTTGAATGAGCATCGTTCTTCAAACCGCCACAACAGATACCTAATTGCATAGCCGCCAAAGCCTAACCCTCATAATGGCTTCCTTCGTAGACAGCATCGAGTACAAGCTCGAGAACATCCCAGCGACAGCTGTTGCTTCGGATGTGATTGACAAGACATTCCGCTCTAGCAGCATTGGTGCGACTCATCCCCACGAACCTTTCCGGCTCAGGTCCTCACTAATACGTGCTACTAGATCTGATTTCTGGGACATTGGGCGGTAAGATACTTGCCTTCTCTGATCAATGGTTCGCCGAAGCCGCCAACCTGCTGACCCCCACTGCCCCCATCCGGCAGCCGGGCAAGATGGTCTTCACGGGAGCCTGGTACGACGGTTGGGAGACCAGACGCCACAACCAGGACCCCTTCGACTGGGTCATTGTCCGCCTCGGCGTCGCCTCCGGTACCGTAGAGGGTGTCGAGGTCGACACGGCCTTCTTCTCCGGCAACCACGCCCCGGCCATCTCCGTCGAGGGCTGCTTCAGCGACAACGACGAAGAGGTCGTCTCGTGGAAGGACGGGCGGGGCAAGTGGGAGACGGTCCTCGGGATCCAGGAGTGCGGCCCCTCGCAGCGCTTCGGGTGGAAGCTCGCTGAGCCCACCAAGAAGCAGTACACGCACGTGAGGCTCAACATGTACCCGGACGGCGGCATCGCCAGGTTCCGGCTCTTTGGCCACGCGGTGCCCGTCTTCCCCGAAGACAAGGAGGCCATCTTCGACCTGGCGGCCGCTCAGAACGGCGGGGTTGCCATCTCCTGCAGCGACCAGCACTTCGGTACCAAGGATAACCTGCTCCTGCCTGGGCGTGGCAAGGATATGGGCGACGGGTGGGAGACGGCTCGGTCACGCAGCCCTGGCCATGTTGACTGGACTATTATCAAGCTCGGCGCACCTGGGTATATCCAGGACTTTGTCGTCGACACTGCGCATTTCAGGGGCAACTTCCCTCAAAAGGTGGCCGTCCAGGGTATTGAATGGAAGGGAGATGGAGAGCCGGACGATAAGTCATCAGGATGGGTGGAGTTGGTGGCTCCAAGCAAGACGGGTCCCGATCAGGAGCACAAGTTTGCCAGCAGCGCCAAGGAAGCTCCCTTCACACATATTAAGCTTATCATGATTCCCGATGGCGGTGTCAAGCGAATCAGAGCCTTTGGAAAGAGAGTGGCATAGGCAGCTAGGCTGTACTCGATAGTGCATAAATCCAGCTGTTCAACTTCAAGTTTTTACTCAACTAATACGATCAATAACCAGTTCTGGCCTAGATATTAACAGTATCAGCTCTTGTATAGCAGCTCAATTATCTTGTTCATATCTTCGTACTGAATGACCTTCCTGTCTTACAATTGGACAACGGGTCAGTGGAGCATCAAAGATTTAGACCTTGTGAAACGAGCATCTTGTACTCCTTTGAAATCCCGGAGTTTCAGAAGGAGCAGCAAGCAACACCATGACAGTGGGGATGACGGGAAAGTTCAGGCGGGCTACCTAATGGCTTGACACCCTCCCGGGCTCCTGCGTTACGAGCATCCGGCTAGTGAACTTCCCAAGCCTTGAATCCATGCGAGGGTGGAGTTTTGCCTTTGTGTAAGGTACTGGTCAAGTGTGGAAATGGGTCAGCAGTTTTCCTTGCTTACTAGCGAACGCCTAAGCGGGTAAAAGAAGACATTGCGCACTAAAACAGTGCTTTGATCTCCTATTCTACAGGATCCCTGACCTTTATAGGTCTATCTTATATTTTTAACTTATTGTAATGAAGCTTGACTAGATGTGGAATGTCTGGTGCCGCTCGGTTAAAACCGCATCAGAGCGTAATTCAGCGTGGACCTTAGTTGTCTATGGTAGTCTGTTGCAGAAAGGGTGGCAGATAACACGGCAGACTATGCACATGCCAAACTGCGGTACATGCAATGAGCCTCGATTGTGCCAGCTTGTTGAGGAACTAAGTGGATGAGCAACACTTTGTAACACCTGCTGACTGTTTGTCGTTGTCTCAGATAAACTATCTTTGTCACATGTTTTTGTTTTGGTGTCACTGCAGCAAACTTGTTGATTCTTTCCGAACAAATTTGTTTGTCTCTACAGGAAGAATACAACCATGAGAAGTAGTAGTTAATAACAAAGAATTATCTTGTACGCTCTTTTAGAACTTCGATTGGACGCTTGCGCCAACATCGTTGCAATCATTCTATAAGGGTTGGTCTGGTGCGCCTTGGTTTTTTTTTTTTTTTTTTTTTTTTTTTTTTTTCTAAATAAATTACAATTGTTTAATAAAATAACACACACACGGAATTGCTCTCTCGAAGCGATTGAAGCAAGCAAGCATCTATCAAGTAAGCAGGTAACCGCATCGCCTCTTGGTACAGACGAATCACCAGAAACCACAACTTCCTCTTCCTGTACTACACGCCTTGTTTCCATCTCACTTGGTCGCTTATGTATAAGTCTCCCCATGGCGAAAATACGGGCCAAGAAGAGACAAGATGTGATCCAACCCTCACGACCGAACACCGAACCTGCCCCTGAAATCCAACAACATCCTCCAGAGGTGGATGACAGTTCGGTCAAGCCACTTACAACCGGATTTCTAAAAGAGCACAACCGACAAAATTTTCGACCCTCTCTACCGCTTCTTTGCCCTTCTGACACCAGCCGCGTGGCTCACTTGGCAGAACTTGGGGGCCCTGATTTATCTGATCTACGAGGAGTATGTTCATCCGACCAGCCCCGTATCGACTGTTCTTTTTAAACTAATTCCTTTTCAGTATCAATTACCTCGGAACTTCTTCGCCATGGCAACTGATTTGCGGAGTTTTATTCCTCCCACCAATGCAGTCCTAGTACCAAAGCCACCCACTTTGGGTGCACTATTGTTGAAGTACAACATATACCCGGCTTTTTCGTCGCAACCGCTAGATCTAAGGTCTCTGCAAGACACACTGGCTGTTCCAAGGCCCTCAGTCCCCCCCTTGACAGTCTCTGACGACGCATATGAGATATTTCGGAAGAATGTGCGTGCAGCTAAAAATGGCAGGGAACTCATTTTTCACCTGGTTCCTGCCCTCATGGGTAATGAATACCCAAGCAACCATTTCGTCTTTGATGCACCATTCGTGACGATGGATCCTTTGGGGGACGACATACCAGCAGCCCAGCCGGATCTATACTGCGGCGAGTTCCCACATCACAGCCTTCACAGGACAGTTCGTGAAGCTCTCGCCAAGCACATAAACCCATCACTGTCGCACATGCTGCCAATAGTCCCAAACTTCTTTTTGGAGTGCCAAGACTTGGATTTTGCTGAGAGAGATGAGAAGTCCCGAGCCCAGCATGATGGTGCCTTTGGAGCTCGTGCCATCCACAGTCTGCAGAATTATGGAAACGAGGAGCCAGAATATGATAATCAGCCCTATACATTCTCAGCTACCTACCACGAGGGAATTCTTGTGCTGTACGCCCATCATGTCACGAAGCCCTACAGCGAGGGCGAATTACCCGAGTTTCATATGAACCAAATCTATACGGTTCACATATTGGCCAGTCGCGAATCATTCATCGAAGGCATAACTGCCTTCAGAAATGCTAGGGATGAGGCCCAAAAACATCGAGACCGTTTCATCGCGGCTGCGAACCGTAAAAGAGCCAGCCTGCAGGAACTGGCAGATATACAGGTAAAGCAGCTTCCCAACACACTTCAACGTCCCAATGTCGGTAGTGATACTCTTCGTCAGGTGACTAACTCCGTTCAACAGGCACACTCACAACCTGCTGCCGCCAGTACAGCTACTTTACCTCAGGCGGTACAGCCTTTCCAGGCCATGCCTCAACAGCCTGGTGCCGCCAACGCCAACCCCTTCCAACACACAACCCCCATCCATTCAGAACTAGAAAACAGACAGCAAGTGAATGAAGGGTCGACAGCCATGCCACTGGGTCTTCCTCCAGCAACGAGCGCGTCCCAGAGAGCTGTACCTAGCCAAACTGCTACACGTCGTAAACGTCCAGGTCCTTCCCAGGATGCACCCTCTCGGCCGTCTGGTAAAAAGACGCGTACAGGTCGAAGGTATTAATACCATCCAATGAGAGTACCTATTTTAGGGCATGCTGGCTTTGAGCACGGGAAGGGAGGCAGACAGAGAAGAAGGCGCATGAGCCAGGGTAGCGAGAGGGATAATAGAAGGACAAGGCTGAGTGTAGAGCGAAGGTATTCGTGGGAAAGGGTTTCTTTCTTTTCTTTCTCTCTCTTTTTTTTTTCTTTTTTTTTTTTCTTTTTTTTTTTCGTAGTATGTTGCTGTGCGGCCACTCCTCTTTCTTGTATAACTAGATTGTGTTACGGCGTTCTCGGGAACATTATTTTAGGCCAATATGAAAAGAAAAGCTCATGAATACGACAAAACGGCTCAACTGTGTCGGAAGCTCGGATCCAAGGGTGCGTCCAGAGAAGACCATTATTTAGACATGAGAGGAAGGAAGAAGAAGTAGAAAAGGGGACTGAAGGTGAATAAGTAAGGTATTGAAGGACCCTAGGTCATATACAAGAAAATCAATGTGTGAGCCAAACGCTGTGGCTTTTGGTTAACCCCAGGTCTGTAGGCACGATTTTTTCCCCCGTTCCTTTGGCCAGCTATATTTCAAACAACCTGAGCAAATACGCATGTACCTTTTCTGTAGTATGGAGAGCTGTGGCTAGGTAGCCAGGCTAAGGAATTGAAAATAGTTACACTTTCAAGCAGCGTGAATCCAGAGTCAACAAGGGTATTGGCCATGCGCGAAATGATGTCAGGCAGCGATCGCATTAGCCAAAAATATAAGCAGCTGTTTCACGACTGTTTTAACGAAATAAGTAACCGTATTTAGAGCCGGTTACACATGTGACATTACGGAAGAGCTCAAAGCCTGGTTTCTGTCTGAATTGGGTTGACTGACGTAAGCATCCATCTATAGCGGGAGCGGCGTATCTGTTATCTGGCGCAGAGTGTCCCTGCCTGTTTCGCCGGAGCAGCTGTCATCTACCGCTAACCTCGAGGTGCTAGCCCAGGCACTACGTGCTAAAGAATGACGACCATCCCGTCTCCAACTCCATCTTCCAGGCTCCGCATCACGCGACAACGACGAACGAGACATCTATCCTGCGACTGAGTATTTTCCCGACACTGACGAGCAGAGCCCTCCAACACTTGGGCTCCGGCCGCAACTCTTCCGACCGCTCTGCGCAACTCATCTCGCATGAGCTGGGGAGCCCGGCACCTGCCCCTCCTCCCATCATGGACGCCGAAGACTCCAATATCGACTTTGGCAGACCTCAGCGGAAGTCTGTCATTCTGCCTCCAGATCTTCCCAAATCCCTAGACGACAGGCGGCATGCTCCAATCGATACTCTGATCCCCGAGACCGAGATGTACGATGGCTGGCAAGGTTGGTCTCCCCGCCTCCGAGCTTGCCCAAGGTTCAAAGAGCCCGGCTAACAAGCGCATCCAGGCGAGTCTCAATTCCTCACAACCCCGGCCGTAGCGAAGCCGCTCAACTTCGCAAGTCTATCCCTCGACGAGCCGGCATTCGACAACGATGGGCCCAAAGACAGCGACACCCGGCTCATGGAGATGCTGGCTGCTCAAGCCGCCCACTCGTCGGGGCCGGATCTTCAGGATGAGCAAGCCATCGCCAACGATGACAAGATGTCGGATGAACAGAAGCGGGCCACCCTGCAAAAATTGCTAAATATGGCCGCTAGCAATGGCGACGTCGAGAAGGTGCAGAAACTCCTCGATGGCAGCGCGAAGCCGTACATTGACGTCAACGCCACGGACGAGGATGGCACCCCGCCACTAATCTATGCTAGCTGTTTTGTCAGTCTTTATCATTTCCCTAGTCAAAGAACTCGAGGTACTAACCTATTTCCTAGGGTCATGAGCCAGTTGTCCAAACTCTCGTTCTAGGCGGCGCAGACGTTAATAAACAGGATCGCAACCAGTGGAGCCCTCTCATGTGGGCAATGACGAATCGCCATAAAGGAATTGCAAAGCTGCTCTTGGATAACGGCGCATCTTCTGACCAGAAGACATCATCTGGGAGGACAGCTGCCGACTTCGTCCCTCCCGATAGCGAGATGTCCACCTATCTACACACAGCCGGCTACACGATTGGCAGCGCCGGCGTGGTGGACGATTTCTACAGCCCAGGTCTCTCTCAGGACCGGTTTGAGGAAGAAATAATGGAAAATGAAATGCGAAGAAGGCTGATGATGGAGAGCGCCAGAGATCTAGAGGTCGATCTTGGTAACGTCGGAATGGATGATCAACCAGAGGTATGTGACAATTGGACGAGCAGAGATATCACAGCAGCTAGATGTGCGTTGGCTAACAAGTTTTAGTCTGCCGATGAGTTCGAGGAGGAACAACAAGAGTTCGATTGGAGCCGATGTTTACACGACCAGATGTTCGTCTTCCAGGAACACGAGCTGGACCGGATATTGGATATCGTTATCACACATATGACGCCACAACGATCGCCAACTCAGAAGCCCGTACCCGCCAATATGATTTTCCTCAGCGCTCGATATGCACATTACCACTCAAGTACAGAGCTCCTGGAGCGGCTCCTCATAACGGCCATGGACCGTATTAATGATGTGGTGGAAAGATATCAGTGGGATATGACGATACTCGCATTCTGGCTATCTAACGCCACGCTGCTCTTACATTACTTAAAAAAGGATGCCGGGCTTGTTGAGGCTACGTCCGAGTTCCAGGCCCACTTGGCTGAACTGATTAACGAAATATTTATTCTCATTGTTCGAGATGCAGAGAGACGACTGGACAAGGTCCTAGATGTGGCAATGCTCGACCACGAAATTATCCCTGGTTTCGAGGATATCCAATTCCAGAACGAGTGGAAAATCTTCAAACGAAAACCTACTGTTAAAGAGGAACCGCTGGAGAAACGGTTTCGACCGCCGTCCCCGAAGCAAAGAGCCAAGCCCGCTCCTCGAAATGTCACATCACTCCTCTCATCCACGTTGTTTGTCCTAGATCTTTACGACGTCCACTCGGTGATCACGTCGCAAATCATTTCTCAGCTCATCTATTGGATTGGGGCCGAACTTTTCAACAGGATCATGTCAAACAGAAAGTATCTAGCGAGGACGAAGGCGATGCAAATTCGGATGAACATCTCTATTCTGGAAGACTGGGCCCGGACGAACAACCGGCAAGCTGAGCATTACGAAGCCGGTGAAATGAAGTCTTCAGGGGAGACGACTGCGGATGCCGCCAGGCACCACCTTGCTCCTGTTATTCAGATGCTCCAGTGGATTCAATGTTTCTCTTCCCTGGCCTCAAACGATCTAGAGGCTCTCGTGGGCACTCTCCAACAACTCAAGCGGCTCACCCCACAACAACTCATACATGCAGCTTCGCATTACAGACTCGAGGTTGGCGAAAAGGGCCTGACGAAGAGCGCACTAAAGTATTTACAGGCCATTCAGAAGGAGGCGGCTCTTAAGCGGGACCGAAGACGTAGCAGAGCTACATCGTTAGTATCAGCACCGGACAGCAGCCCGGCAACTCCTGTGAAGAAGAATCAGGCACAAGGAAACGGTGCAGATACGCCAAGCGTGCAAGGCACACCGAATGCCAAGGGCACAGATGGGGCGGACGAGGATTACGACGATGCGCCGGAAAATCTACTGCTGGACCCTGCGCTCATGCTCCCGTTCTCGCTGCCCTCGGTAACAGACATGCTGATTTCCTATGGCGCGGGTTTTGGAGGAGTGAACCGAGAACGGGAGCGCAAGTACATCCCCACGGTGCCACCCGAGTTTCTCGAGAAGCTAGAATTGAACGGCGGTCGGAAAGGGCCCATGTTTGGAGAAAAGGATTGGGAGAACGAGGAAGTATGATAGACATGAATGAAAGGCATTGATGAAATGACTCTCACACACTCCCCCCTTCCCACACTGTCAATGTGCATTTCCCACGCAGCAACGGGGCAGGTTGGACCTTTGGTGTCGAGGGAAATCACAGCATTGAGCGCATGTCATCATCGTGATCAATCGGCGCTGAACACGATCCATGCAAGCCGACCGAACTCGCATTGAGCAGAGAGGGAGAACCCGTGTAATGCCGTTGCCAGATACCCTACCCATCTCCATGAATAAGAGTCCATGCGGGTGAGCGGGTGGCTGGTGGACATCAGTCATGCAAGCTGCAAGGGGACGCCCCTTCATAAATTGCCGTGGTAGCAATGCTAAAACATTCTGTCTCGGCTGTAACGTCCGTGTTGTATTCGGCCTCTCGTATTGCTTCATCAATGAACCTTAAGTCGTCAGTTGTTGTTTTTGGGTATCGTGCCAATAGCATCTTGGATGGCAGCGTTACGGTAGCGATAGTCTAATTTCCCTAGTTACCTATCCAAATGGCTTGTTGGGTTACGATAGAGAGCATAATTGCGCGTTTATGTGTCGGGGAATCTTGCTCTGGGCGGGAATGGGATTCTACATACTGGGGGGAGATTTATCGTATCGGCTATCCGTTTAGCATTATGCTGGCGTCTAGGTTAAGCATAATTTCAATGATTTTAGCTTTGGCTTTGGGATGGCTTGGCCTAGGGGATGATTCAATATACCCAACCCATCAGCCTCCAAAGATCCTCCGTGCTAGATTAAAGCACTACTGTTGGCAGGATATCGCGACAACGGTAGTATCAAAGCGAAAGAAATTGAAAAGGGGTTCAGCGCGAAATCAGCCAAGCTGAGGCACATGCCGTGTCCATTGATGCTCCTACGCCATTCGCAGTGTTGGATTGGGGGCTGCTGCTGTATGTACAGGGTAGACAGTCACAATATGAAGGTAGCAATTGGATGGATGGATTTTGCATCGTGATTGGACAATGACACAAGTAGGTGGTATCAATCAATTCCTACCTACTAAGCCAACGGGGAGCGTTCTGCCACGCGGAGGCGGGAGATTGGGAGACGATGAGACGACATCGCCAGTAGCATTTTTCTTCACTTGCATGTGTCACTCGCCATTATTGATTGACAGTCATCTTAACGGGCCCGTGATATATCAGGCCCGTGGTGTCATTTCGTCAACGATGGCAGCCCAGCGCCGAGCTGTATGAGGAAACTGGGCCTGTGGCAGCTGAAAGTGAGTCGACTGCGAAATTTGAGTCACTCGGAGGCGGGATCGGATGGGCAGACAAATTGAGAGATTTTCCCTCACCACTCAATCGTTCAACCTGTTGTCCGCGTGCGAATTATAGCTTGGGATTGGATACCTACTGCTGCAGACTTTTTTTTCGACGTGGCAGGCTGGCTACCGTTATGTCCCCAGCACCATGATTTAGTGTGGCCCAAATTGGTGCCGGCGCCGCTCACGAGAGAGGCATTTGTGCTCCCCAGCCCGACGGAGCAGCCCCATGCAACGGGGCTAAACCTGGGTTGTCATGGCCAGGCAAAAAGCTCTGGTGTGCGTGCACATGCATGCATGAGGGCCAGTTCAGTTCTCCAGGTATTTCATCCAGCCGGTGGTGGTTCGTGTGTGATGGGGCGAGAGACTGGGCACCACATGCACTACTTGACCGCGAGTGTGGGAAAGCAAGCGTGAGCTGGCTAGTGCCACGTCAATGAGCAGGGCAACGAAAGACCATGGGGGGAAGAGAGACCGAAAAAAAAAAAAACAGAGAAAGAGGCGGAAGCCCTCCCTACAGGTCGGTGTGTGTTGGTAGGCCGACGCATCCTCACTTTTCCTCGTCTGGAAAGGTAGCAGCGAGAGCAGGCCAAGCCAGGCCCGACCTCATCAGGCCGCAATGCAATGGTGGGTTGGAAGGGCACAATGGATCACACGGAATGATGCACAAAAGAAACAAGAAAAATGCGAGAGAAACGGACGAAATGTGTCGGCTGTGTGCAGGCTTTTCATGCATCGAGATGATGTACATGCGGATCAAACACTTACAGTAGCAGTCGCATCTGTCATCATCTCGTCTTCCCCAATGACCCTTTGATTTTATTTTATTTTATTTTAGGGGACGGTCGATGAGATGCGCGGCGGGCATGTGCGCCCCCAAACCAGAAACAGGACACGGACCCGGTGCATGAGGCTGCATAGATGGGCATCACCAGGATGGCCTATCAAGCTGGAACACATCTGGGGCAGGCGGACGAGTAGATCGCTGGCCGCTCCAGCAACCTGTGCTGGTGTTTGTTATTTATTATCAGTTCGAATGGAACTATAACGGACGGCGTGGATCAGGGGCGATGCATGTTAGCATGAGGGTGAGCTCTTCAGCCGTGCATCAGCACAGGAGAAGCACAGGGGTTCACGCAGATTGTATCTCGCAATCAGCATGGAGTTGGCAGGCAGGACCTGGCCGTTGGGGACACGGGGAACAGGAATGACAGGCATTGATCGGGCAGGGCGAGCGGGTTGATTGTCCCATTGCAATGGTCCGATTCTATTACCGTCCGCCCTCCCCCGTGCTGAGGCAGGTTCCCAAACACGGGCGAGTCAGTGAAATTTTCTTTTGGGGAGATTGACACTGGGGTAAGGACCAGAAGGCACCAGGTTTGTGAAGCAAGGCCACAGGGGTGTGAGGGAAGAGGAAGAAAAGGGGAGTTTCGTCCAACCTAGATACATCAATGCCATGAATAGTGAACCAGGCAAAAAGAGGGTACCCGAGTTTGACGTTGTTGATGGGATCTTGTGGTCAGACGGGAAGCGAAGCGAAGCGAGGTGATGCGATTTGAAGCGAAAGAAAGGGACGAGACGACGGGGCGAGGTGGAATTGGGAATGGAAATGGGGGTGAAGGGGATCCCTGGTGCGCTCGAGCAAGGGGAATGCGGATGGGCAACGTGGCGGGCCGGGTGGAAGAACGGGCGGAAGAGAAGGGGAAGGATGGATTGTAATTGACGTTAATTACTAAGGTTCGGGAGGTACATATCGTCAGATTGCCAACTTGACAAGTGCCAGCCATCGGAGTTTGTCTGGTGTGTGTGTGTGAGCGAAGCGGGTACCTTGCAGGTGTGTCGAGGCGGTCATCGTCCAAAGCCGCACTGACCAAGAGTGGTGATCGGGCGACCGACTTGGGCCACCGCCTGGAAACGATTTGTGCACGCGGGAAGAGGCTGCCCTACGTAGCACTAGCGGCCGTTTTGGAGGGGACCTGAGGGGTCGGTCTCTGGGTCGGTGTGCAGAGACCAGCGGCCTGGCCCTAGTGTGAGCTGGAGGTCGGTGTTAGCAGTCCCCACGAGGGCAGGCCATGTTGTGGTTGTGCGGTGAGGCGACTGGTCCTCGGCTCGCTGCAGAGGCAAACTCAGATGTGATGCTTCGTCTCGTCTGGGTGGGATTGCTTGTCGAGATGGGCGGTGGGGGGCCACGCTGCCACAGGCAAAGGGCCCAGCAAGCGAAGCAGGCAAGCGAGGAGTGATGTGGCAGATGGTAGGTGGCAGCCCGGCTGGTGGGACAGCCAATATTATGCATTCACTTTACATGCAAGTACCTCTGCCCGTTTCCCAATCGGGCGGGTGAGCCAGCGAGAAGGCAGTCCCTCTTTTATTTTCCCTTTCCCATGTGTTTGGCGCCATGCCAGGCATTGTGTTGCAAGGGTGATGGGTTGGGCTGGGCTGCTGGGCTGGGCTGGATTGGCCGGATGGCTTGACCGTCGGACGGGGAGGGACGTGGACGTGCAGGCAGGAAGAAAAAAGAATGTGTCTGTGCCGATAGATGCTGTCATTAGTATATTAAACCATTGTGGTCCCATCGGCTCCTGGCTGCGACTGGCCTTGTTCCGTAACTAACCATCCCAGCATCACAGCTTTGTTGCTTGATTTTGTTGTTGCTTTTTCTCGTCTTCTTTTTCTTTTGGTAGATACCCCGGCGTCTCTTTCTGCCCTCTGTCTCATCTCAGCTGCTGTAAGCTGCAGGATAGAAAAAGAAACGACCACACAGCGTCGAAAAAAGGAAACAGGTTCAGCTCTTTTTGGCTGCTGGTACGTGCCCTTGCGACCTGGACGAGCCGCGAGCGAACAATTGTCCATCTTGACCTGCAATACAAATTGGGACCAGGGAATAACGAGTTGTTAGGTTTGGATTTTGGAAACAGCGACCAAACGACACCGCCCATCTTCCCATCCCACTTACATGAAGACGACGGCGACGGTATTGAACACTCTGTTTCAGTCGGAACCCAGCGCGAGCTCTCAGCCATTGAGTGTCTCTCAGTCGGTCCCGAGATACCCATTCGCGTCATCGAGATTTCAGATCTTGCACAACACACCTTCACACAACACATCATGGCTTCTGCCAGTATAAGCGAGCGGAGTCGGAGCAGGAGTAGGAGTAGGAGCAAGCCTCGCTCTGTGGCGAAGAAACCTTCATTTCGAGATGAATTGCAGCTGGTAGCTGTTCGCTACGAGAAGACGAGCCAGGGCGACCTACCCATCCCCATTACGAGCCGCAATTCACGCCCAAGCTCATCGTCACGACCAGCCACTGCCTCTCGCCCTACGTCTGCATCCTCCTCCGTCTCCTACGGTGGTCCCATCGTGGTGATCCCTCCGATTCCCCCCATCGCACCGCCCACAGAGGAGCACCCGGCCTTGCGTGCGTCCGGCCCTGTTTTGACCCAGAGGATAACCCCGGTGGAACGCAAGCGAGACTCGGGTCATGCTACATCCAGCGCATCCTCGTCGACGCCTACGATCAACGAGGAGGATATCGAGAATGACTGTCGGGCCGAGTACCTGTCAACGACGCCGCCTCTCAGGACAATGTCTCCAGCGATGCTCTCCATCCAGGAGAGCGTCGAGGAGGACGATGAAGACGGGCTCTGCACACCAACAGCATCATTCGAGATGCGACTCTCGGAGGAGGTCGACATGCGTCCCAGGGCCCCGG